CAAATTGTACTGTATACATCAATGTGTACAGTATACATCAATGTGTACTGTACACATCAATGTGTACTGTAAACATCAATGTGTACTGTATACATCAATGTGTACTGTTACTGTATACTTTACACATGAATGTGTACTGTACACATCAATGTGTACTGTATACTTTATACATCAATGTGTACTGTATACATCAATGTGCACTGTATACTGTATACATCAATGTGTACTGTACACATCAATGTGTACTGGATACATCAATGTGTACTGTATACATCAATGTGTACTGTACACATCAATGTGTACTGTACACATTAATGTGTACTGTATACATCAATGTGTACTGTTACTGTATACTGTACACTTCAATGTGTACTGTACACATCAATGTGTACTGTTACACATTGATGTGTACTGTTACTGTATACTATACACATCAATGTGTACTGTACACATCAATGTGTACTGTACACATTAATGTGTACTGTATACATCAATGTGTACTGTTACTGTATACTGTACACTTCAATGTGTACTGTACACATCAATGTGTACTGTACACATTAATGTGTACTGTATACATCAATGTGTACTGTTACTGTATACGTTACACATCAATGTGTACTGTACACATCAATGTGTACGGTATACTGTATACTGTACACATCAATGTGTACTGTTACTGTATACTGGAAACATCTATGTGTACTGTATACATCAATGTGTACTGTATACATCAATGTCTACTGTATACTGTACACATCAATGTGTACAGTATACATCAATGTGTACTGTATACTGTACACATCAATGTGTAGATTATACATCAATGTGTACTGTATACTGTATACATCAATGTGTACTGTACACATCAATGTGTACGGTATACTGTATACTGTACACATCAATGTGTACTGTTACTGTATACTGTACACTTCAATGTGTACTGTACACATCAATGTGTACTGTAAACATCAATGTGTACTGTATACATCAATGTGTACTGTTACTGTATACTTTACACATGAATGTGTACTGTACACATCAATGTGTACTGTATAAATCAATGTGTACTGTATACATCAATGTGTACTGTACACATCAATGTGTACTGTACACATTAATGTGTACTGTATACATCAATGTGTACTGTTACTGTATACTTTACACATGAATGTGTACTGTACACATCAATGTGTACTGTATACTTTATACATCAATGTGTACTGTATACATCAATGTGTACAGTATACATCAATGTGTACTGTATACATCAATGTGTACTGTTACTGTATACTGTACACTTCAATGTGTACTGTACACATCAATGTGTACTGTTACTGTATACTGTACACTTCAATGTGTACTGTACACATCAATGTGTACTGTATACTGTATACTGTACACATCAATGTGTACTGTTACTGTATACTGTACACTTCAATGTGTACTGTACACATCAATGTGTACTGTACACATTAATGTGTACTGTATACATCAATGTGTACTGTTACTGTATACTGTACACTTCAATGTGTACTGTACACATCAATGTGTACTGTAAACATCAATGTGTACTGTATACATCAATGTGTACTGTTACTGTATACTGTACACTTCAATGTGTACTGTACACATCAATGTGTACTGTATAAATCAATGTGTACTGTATACATCAATGTGTACTGTATGCTGTATACATCAATGTGTACTGTATACATCAATGGGTACTGTTACTGTATACTTTACACATCAATGTGTACTGTACACATCAATGTGTACTGGATACATCAATGTGTACTGTATACATCAATGTGTACTGTTACTGTATACTGTACACTTCAATGTGTACTGTACACATCAATGTGTACTGTAAACATCAATGTGTACTGTATACATCAATGTGTACTGTTACAGTATACTTTACACATCAATGTGTACTGTACACATCAATGTGTACTGTTACTGTATACTGTACACTTCAATGTGTACTGTACACATCAATGTGTACTGTAAACATCAATGTGTACTGTATACATCAATGTGTACTGTATGCTGTATACATCAATGTGTACTGTATACATCAATGTGTACTGTTACAGTATACTTTACACATCAATGTGTACTGTACACATCAATGTGTACTGTATTGAAATTTTGTTGGGATTAACTATCTTCTTTTTCTCAAAATAAAACCAACATGTTTACAAATCTAAAGGTCAAGCTGACACAATGTATTACATTGAACATTGAATGTGTTCGAAATTTTTCTGGATTCAAATTAAGTTAAAAATAAATTTACCAAACTACACGGGGTGTATATTCTTATCTATAAAAGTTGCTGTTGGTGAAATATCAATAGATTAGTACATGGATATTCCAATCAGGGGTAATGCTAGAGGGTAAGACTGACCTTTATTGAACTGTGTGCATACACACAAAAGCAACAATTTTAGATACTTTTTTACACTTAACATAACCATATACATGTTACCATTACAAGTAAAAGTTTAATACAAAAAATGTTAAAATTCCACATTTTCTACTGAAGAATAAAATTAAGCACATTTGCTTTCATGCATGACATCATAGGTGTAGAATATTTTATGTGTACCATCAAAGAATGGTTATTTACACATTTAGAGACATGTGTGCGGCAGCACCAACATATGTGGCTAATCAATTAGCATACATTTTAGATAAAACCTCTGCCTTAATACTAATCAACATCAGTTTTAGATCAACAGAATCTGCTTAATTGATAGGAATCTCTTTGAATGTGTAAATTCTTGATTCTGTTGGAAGTCAGTGAAGATTACTAAAGCATTCCTACCCAAAACAAGAGGCCCAATGGGCCTGCATCGCTCACCTGGTATAAATCTCACACTTGTAACCTTAAAAGTGATCTAAAATAAAGCTACAGGCAAAATATCAGTATTTATGATTAAAATTCATTCAAAAGACCCTGTTAATTTTTTTTAGAACATATCACAACTGTGATTGAAAGTCGAACAAAGTCATTATGTTGAACACATTTTATAGCCTTTCATCTCAGGATGCAACTTGCAAAGTATCAACATCCTGGGACCCATGGTTATTCAGAAGAGGTTGTTTAAAGATTTTAAACAAATTTGACCCCTGTGACCTTGAATATAAGTCAAAGTCATTCACTTTAACAAACATAGTAGTCCTTGATCCCAGCATGCTACTGACTAAATATCAACATCCTGAGCCTTTTGGTTATTCAGAACAAGTTGTTTAAATATTTTGAACATATTTGCTCCTTGTGACCTTGAATATGATTCAAGGTCATACATTTAAACAAACTTGGTAGCCCTTGATCCTAGTATGCTACTGACTAAATATCATCACCCTGGGCATTTTGGTTATTCAGAAGAAGTTGTTTAAAGTTTTTAACATATTTGACCCCTGTGACCTTGAATATGGGTGAAGGTCATTCATTTGAACAAACTTTGTAGCCCTTCATCCCAGCATGCTACTGGCCAAATATCATCACCCTGGGCATTTTGGTTATACAGAAGAAGTTGTATAAAGTTTTTAACATATTTTACGCCTGTGACCTTGAATATGGGTGAAGGTCATTTATTTAAACAAACATTGTAGCCCTTTATATCAGCATGCTACTGGCCAAATATCATTACCCTGGGCATTTTGGTTGTTGAGAAGAAGTTGTTTAAAGTTTTTAACATATTTGACCACTGGAACCTTGAATATTATTGAAGGTCATTCATTTGAACAAACTTTGTAGCCCTTCATCTCAGCATGCTACTGGCCAAATATCATCACCCTGGGTATTTTGGTTATTGAGAAGAAGTTGTTTAAAGTTTTCAACATATTTGACCCCTGTGACCTTGAAAATGGGTGAAGGTCATTAATTTGAACAAACTTTGTAGCCCTTCATCCCAGTTTGCTTCTGACCAAATATCGACACCCTAGGCCTTTCGGTTATTAAGAAGAAGTCGTTTAAAGTAAAATATTGACACCGGACGACGGATGGACGGATGCCGGATGCCGCACCACGGCATAAGCTCACTTGGCACTTCGTGCCAGGTGAGCTAAAAACCTCTAATTATCAATACACATATACATGTACAATATCTGTAAAGGGAGGTTGACAAATGTATGCGAGGGGAGGGTTTGTTTATGAGGTATTTATTTGTATCACTATATAGTAAATAGTAGCTTAATTAAAAAAGGCATTCATAAGAATCATGTGTACACTACAACATTTCTATGACATAACATTTATAATTCAGTTTTACTGAGGAGATGGAGCTCATTAGATTTAAGGTGTTAGTTGTCAGTGCAGTAAAACAATCAAAGCATACACAATGTATATAGGTGGCTGTGTGTGAGCTATTACGCAAGGGCGTGGTTAAGATCCCCACTCCCACGGCAAATTTATATATACGGACTGTAGGTTTGGGCATCTGTGTCATGCCCATGAGCTATTATAATAGGCACATTTCATGAATTCAAATATTAAAATTGTTTAAATAATTGTATAACAAAGATGAGAAAATGTTGCAAAAACTACTTAATGAAGGCTGACATGCCAAAGTTAAAAAAAAATCACACATACACATTTGTTAATTATATTGTTCTAATTTGTCAAATGTAATGAAATGAATGAATTTCTAATAAGTCTGTGTTATCTCTAGATACTGAGAGCCAATGTATACCTCTAGATACTGGGGGACCAATGTATACCTCTAGATACTCGGGGTCCAATGTATACTTCTAGATTCTGGGGGTCCAATGTATACTTTTAGATACTGGGGGGCCAATGAATACCTCTAGATACTGGGGGTACAACGTATACCTCTAGAATCTTGGGTCCAATGTATACCTCTAGATAGTGGGGGTCCAATGTATACCTTTAGATACTGGGGGTCCAATGTAGACCTCTAGATACTGGGGGTCCAAGGTATAACTCTAGATACTGGGGTCCAATGTATAGCTCTAGATACTGAGAGCCAATGTATGCCTCTAGATACTGGGGGTCCAAGGTATAACTCTAGATACTGGGGTCCAATGTATAGCTCTAGATACTGGGGTCCAATGTATACCCCTAGATACTGGGGGTCCAATGTTTACCTCTAGATACTGGGGGTCCAACGTATACCTCTAGATACTGGGGGTCCAAGGTATAACTCTAGATACTGGGGTCCAATGTATACCTCTCGATACTGGGGTCCAATGTATAGCTCTAGATACTGGGGTCCAATGTATACCGCTAGATACTGGGGGACCAATGTATACCTCTAGATACTCGGGGTCCAATGTATACTTCTAGATGCTGGGGTCCAATGTATACCTCTCGATACTGGGGTCCAATGTATACCCCTAGATACTGGGGGTCCAATGTTTACCTCTAGATACTGGGGTCCACTGTATACCTCTAGATACTGGGTGCCAATGTATACCTCTAGATACTCGGGGTCCAATGTATACTTCTAGATACTGGGGGCCCAATGTATACCTCTAGATACTCGGGGTCCAATGTATACTTCTAGATACTGGGGGCCCAATGTATACCTCTAGATACTGGCGGTCCAATGTATACCTCTAGATGCTGGGGGTCCAATGTATACTTCTAGATGCTGGGGTCCAATGTATACCTCTCGATACTGGGGTCCAATGTATACCTCTCGATACTGGGGTCCAATGTATACCGCTAGATACTGGGGGACCAATGTATACCTCTAGATACTGGCGGTCCAATGTATACCTCTAGATAGTGGGGGTCCAATGTATACCTTTAGATACTGGGGGTCCAATGTTTACCTCTAGATACTGGGGTCCAATGTATACCCCTAGATACTGGGGGTCCAATGCATACCTCTAGATACTGGGGGTCCAAGGTATAACTCTAGATACTGGGGTCCAATGTATACCGCTAGATACTGGGGGACCAATGTATACCTCTAGATACTCGGGGTCCAATGTATACTTCTAGATGCTGGGGTCCAATGTATACCTCTCGATACTGGGGTCCAATGTATAGCTCTAGATACTGGGGTCCAATGTATACCTCTCGATACTGGGGTCCAATGTATACCTCTCGATACTGGGGTCCAATGTATAGCTCTAGATACTGGGGTCCAATGTATAGCTCTAGATACTGGGGTCCAATGTATAGCTCTAGATACTGGGGGTCCAAGGTATAACTCTAGATACTGGGGTCCAATGTATACCGCTAGATACTGGGGGTCCAATGTATACCTCTAGATACTGGGGGTCCATTGTATCTTTATGTTTCTGATGTGGTAGATAATTCCATGATGCTAACATATATGCAGTTTAATTATAATAACCTTCTCCATTAGATTTAATCTTCTGCATTGTTACAATATGAGGAAGGGGGGAGTATTAAAAATTACTTATAACAGAAAAAGGAGAATGGTGGCTATGTAGGAAGGGGATAAGCAGATATCAAGTTACTCTATATCAAATACTAAAACAAGTATATTTCAGTTTTCACCTTCAATTCTCATTGTTAGAATTGATTTTCTATACCATGACTAGAATTTCTCTATTTCTATACCTATTATGACTGTCCTGTATTATTGTTAAATTACCTGTAGAAAATTGATTCAGAAAAAATGACCTCTTGAATAACAATCAGACAGTGTTTTATGTACACAGCAGATGTGTACAGTTAGCTAGTTTGGATTAAAATTGTTTGAAAATATTCAGAATAAACACTAAATTCATTTTGATTTAAGATTTTCAATTTATGCGCAATAAATGTGTACTTTGCTAAAGCTTCAGTTAAAATTCATGTCAATTCACTGAAGTTAAAACATAGCAGATAACTTCAATTAACTTTAATAAAATGAGTTCTGACTTTTCATGTATCTTTATCCTATAACAGTGTCATATTTCATATAAGGCCAATATATGTAAACATTCAGGTGGATACGAAACAATCAATCTTTTGTACATAAGGAAAAAACATCCAGAAAAAGTGCATAATACCAGTTAAATTATGACAAATTCAAATTTGTCAAAATACATATTTCATAAAATTCCAATACATTACAACCATTTGCCATCAAAAAAATAGCATCAGTTTATATTTGTTCAAATTTCACTTTTGTTAAATTTCAGACAAAAACTCCTGTAAGTCTTCAACTTTGTTTTCAGTTCTCAACTCCCATTAGAGTTATCTGTGTTTTTGTCTGAGCTCATTTCCTCACCAGATTCTGCGGCTTTGTCTGCTACTATCTGATTAACCTCTGCGACAACATCAATCGTACTAATTACTACTGGCTGGTTGTCCAGGCGGTTGGCATCCTGGATACCATGTTTGCGTAACATTCCTCGGAGAATTTCAATTTCCTGTTCTTGTGTGGAACAATATTCTCTGTATTTTGTTAGTTCTTGTTCACACGCTTGGCGTAGTCGTCGCTCTCTGAGAAGCCTCTTCTCTGCCTGCTTCTTCACTGACAAAACAATGCCTTTTGAAAAATAAAATATGCAAGAAGATTCAATCTTTTACATTAAAACCTCATATTTTCATTTTTGACATGCATTTTTTTTAAGATGAAAAATCAAAATGATAGGATATAAGAAAATTCCATTTTTTTTTAAATGAAAAGGTGATGAAAATTTCACTGATTTGATTCCGAATAGATTACACCTACAGAAAAAACAACATGCAAACATGCAATGTATATTGGGTAAACAGTATAGGTTTTTTTCAGAAACAATATATGTACATATTGAAAAATATTTTATACTACATGTATAAAAAAAATAATAATCAGATTACACTGTGACACGTTCTGTCAAAGTTTCGCTCTCTTCAAGGCCTTAGTGAGTCTCACTCTTTCAAAACCATAATCCCACTATCTGTGTCAAATCGGGGTTGACAGGTATGATACATGTATTTCTAACAGAAGACTTGGACAACACTACTAGACTGCTCGCACTGCAGGATTACTTAATGGGAGATTGGCAATCCAATTTAAGCAACTATGTTTTATCGTAAATGTATCAATGACAGGGTTTTTGCCAGCTATTTTTGGAAAGGGCCCCTGGGCAGGTATTGGGAAAATATCAGCGGCATTTGGAAAAAATTGGGAACTATCATCATTGTTCCCACATACACAGGTTCGGGAAAATATCATAAGTTTTGAGAAATAAAACCTACAATGTGATTTGCAAAAAGTTTTCCTCTATAGCTGTTTCTTACAGTAAAATGTATAGCAATAAATAAACACATCAATTTTCAGTGTTTTTGTTTATGTATTTTGAATGCTCTTAATTTTCATGAACGGTAATACTTTGAACGTTGCACATATAATGTAACCCTGGTAAATACTAGCTGCAATATATCGCTCGGCTATAGAGAACTTCTCTTTAGCTCGATCGGTTGAGCGTTAGACTAGTAAGCCAGAGGTCCCGGGTTCGATCCCATGCGGAGGTAGTGATTTATATTTAATTAATCATGCGCTCTGTTTCATTGGCGCCCACGTAGGGACCCGGGAAAACTACTTGGCCTTGCTCCACAAGCATCGCTGTTACCCTTGGAAAACTTGAGGACAAGTTCTTTCCTGGAAGGGGAGTATGTAACCCTGGTAAATACTAGCCGCAATATATCGCTCGGCTATAGAGAACTTCTCTTTAGCTCGATCGGTTGAGCGTTAGACTAGTAAGCCAGAGGTCTCGGGTTCGATCCCATGCGGAGGTAGTGATTTATATTTAATTAATCATGCGCTCTGTTACATAATCTAATTTGGAAAATAAAGACTGCAATTGGGAAAATACAGGGTCATTTTTTAATTGGGAATGGGTCCCCGTACCGGACCTCTAAACACCTGGCAAAAACCCTGAATGAAGTTGAGTTACGAAGATATTGGGTCTTAAGAATATCATCATATTAATATTTTATTGATATCTAAATTAAAGATATATTTGATAATTATCATGAAATATTCAATCATGAAAATATGAAAGTGAGAACAGTAAAACTGGACTAGCTGTTAACATTTATATACATGCAATTCATACCATTCAGGATTCGGGTGACTCTCCAGAGCCTCAGCACCACCAGAAGACCGATGCCACTTTCTGGACCCTCATGGGAACGAAACACTATGTCAAGGACAAAAGACACAGTGACAATGATGGCATCAAAAACTTCCATCTTGTGTTTGAGGAAGCTCAGTCGATAGGCATAGATACGGACCAAAATCTCGACAACAAACAAACAGAGGATAGATATACTTGAGTAGTGGAGTATCTGTGGAGCAATGTGATTATCATGATCAGGTAAATTGACAATGTTCATGTCCAGAAGAAGTTCGGCTATTACCAGAAGACAGTCCAAAATGACAAAACACACCACAATGATCTGAAACTTGTTTGTATGGAGAATGTGTACAAGCCTCTCTCTGAATGTTCGGAATTCTTGTTTTGCTTCATCAGAATCTGTTGTAATGGAACTGTTAGAATCATCCTTTTCAATAACTTTCTCCAAGTCGTCCTGTAATTTATGAAAACCCTCCATCTGAATCTGAAAATCCAAAAAATATGTTTATAAACCCTAAAGATTATCATGATTCTTAAAACAGCTATATAGGGCAATAATTTGTCAAAGAAAAAAACTATCAGTCTCTGGTATATTGAAACAAATTAAATGCATCTTTATTGATGTGTGTTGAGACTTCAGAAGTCATAAATAGAAAGAAATGCATATAAGTATCGTTATCAGCTCAAATGAACAAGAAGGTTATTTTTAATAGTCATTGTTTACGCAAAAAGGGAGCAACACCCCCTTTTCAGCCTGAGGCATCAAGTGCAGTGTTGACCGAATATATTTTCTTTGATACAGACAAAACATGTTGACGATACCTTCATTATTGCGACTTCTATTACGTCAATGTGAATCTTCGAAGATGTTCATCGGGATTTGTGTTCGATCCTCAAAAAGGTACTTAAACTTACAATAAAAACAATAGACAAAGTGTGTTATTGTTTACAAAGCACCAAAATGGTTTCTTCTCGTTCAATACGAGACCTTACGTTATTTGACAATTTGTTTGGAACCGCAGTACGGAGCACGGAAGACTTAGGAAAGAATTTAGGATATCGCTAATTTAAATAACTTTGGAACTGTTATTCCTTGCTTTTCGAATAAGATGACTCCATTATATTGTCTGAAGTACTACTAATAAAACATTTCACTAAACTCATTGAACTTAAACGTCAATGTTTAATATTTTACATCGATTTCCGGATAATCTTAACCGAAGTTTGTCTTTGTATTTATAGCGTCTTTGATGATTTCCGGTATACTAGAAGTGTAACGCATTTATGATTTAACCAACAAAATGCCGAAAGATGAAGAAAAGAAAGTCGTTTTACCGAGGACTGCATCAGATCTTCAAAGACTTAAGCTTGAGAAATTGATGAAAAAGCCGGTAACTGCATCTTACATTTTATGTGCGATTCAATCACAGCTGGGGTTCGTTACAAAATCTGAAATGCACATGTATATGCTATTGATATGGGTCACAGCAGTATGTTCATTTGCGCTGTGACACCCACGTATAGCATAGGTGTATTTCTGATATTTTTTACGAACCCCTGTGCTCCGATGAAACTCTTCCCTTGTGTGTATTTTTATGTGTACTGTGATCTATATCAGTATAGCATTATAAGCATACATGTGTAACATAAGAGCATAAGAGGCCGACCAGTTTTTTCCACCGGATATAAATTTGCAGACTGCAACTTTTGTAACAAGACAGCTGTCAAAAGTTTCTCGCCATGTAAACCTCTAACACTGTTATAGTATATAGTCTAGTACTAATATCACGGAATTAGATTAGATTAGATTATCTAAGTCCGTGCTAATATTATTACCCGGCCAGGGTGGTATTAAATCCATCCCATGCCGTGTAATAGAGCAAGCACACGTGTGGTCGGCACTGTGAATCACACCAGGGTGATTTTAGAATTAAGTGAAAGCATACCCCATTTTGGTCTGCATCCACAAATAGGTTTGTAATATGAACTATTTCCGTTGATTTCCTATATAACTTGAAGTTAAACTCTGCCTAAAATTTCGTTAAAATATCAAGTTGACAGTTTCCATAATGGCAGTCAATTCAGATTTCGATTGCCCTCCCTACATAAACTTGATAATTTAATGCCATTTAATTATAAGGCAGAGTTTAACATCAAGTTATATAGGAGATTAACAGATATAGTTTATATTAGTTTTATTACAAACCAGTGTATGGATGTCGACCGATGTGCTCTCAATTAATGCTAAAATCACCAGGATTGCTCCATTATAAGGCATGGAATCAATTTAATATCTGGGGCAGAAGAGGCAGGATTTAATATTTATACTATCTGTAGTCTATCCTCCTTCAAAACAGCAATGTCCTCCTGCAACACAAATGACGTTATCATGATCATAAACCTGAAGTCGCAGTCATTCATTTACAAAATTGATAGAATTTGAATAAGAAGAATTCACATAGATTTGAAGGGGGAGGGGCAGACTAGGGGTTCAAAGCTCTTGTTCATAGCTTTTTAGAAATTGTTTTACATGTGCTTTTATATTAGCTAGCTTGAAATGCATCAGTGATGTTTTCGTAAGATTTTCAGGCCAGTCCTAAACATGATCTTCCAAATGTAAATGAATAAGAGATATATTGGGTTTCTAAAAATGTGGATGAATCCAACAGGAAAAGCACAAACCTGGGCTCAAATATTTGTGCCTACAAAATCACAGGCCCTGAGGCTGAATTTGGTGTAGACATTAAACAATGCAATGACCTCTCAATCTGAAATCCAACCTGTGAAATATAAAAGGTAATGGAACAGCTGCCAATAACAGGTTATGTCTCAAGTGATAAAGGCTTAAAAAACAATGTGTATTAATTTATGTTATTCATTATTCTTTCACAAACAATAGTATAAAATGTAATGTATATATATATAAGGATTCTACATATTTTATTAACCAATACTTTTGTCAAGCCAAGGAGAAGTATTGGAGCACATGATATAAATAGAGAAAACCAACACACCCAACTTTAAAACTGGCTTTTAACAGTGTTATGGTTCAACATACAATCGCTTTGCAGCTGAGGTAATTTTTGGGGTCATGGGGCACATATGATTAATTTTAGGGTCATCCCCTCCCAACCCCCAACTCCCCTGTCAGGTGCAATTCCAGCACAGTGAATTATGCAACTTGTATAGAAATATAGCATGACAAAAGCCCTAATAAGCTATAGATATAGCCGGAAGATACTATAATAACTAGTAATAACACCTGTTTTATTGTTGGTAATGTTTTAGGTGTACATTAACATTTCCCTCTTTTTCATTTAAGGATAAAGAGGTCATAATTGCAGACAAATCTCAGGGATATAATCCAAGGGCACCTTTAGAATTCATCAGGAATGTATGGGGTAAGATTGACATTTATAATATATCACAGAGCTTTCAGAAGACTCTTTATGTTATGTACAATGTATTCAGTTATTTCAATAACTGAATTACATAAAGAATCTTGACTCTTGAGTTTGAAAGGTCATATCTATTATATTTAAAACATGTGTTTTGACCTTCCAAATTTCTGGAGAAAAGAAAACAATTTGCACAGGTCAATTGACCATGAAAGCCCTTCACAAAGTATTTTGTAGATTTATATTACCAGTTTGAAACAATGAAGTTGTACATTCAGGTAGTTTCATCTTACATTAAGTTAGGCCTGTTCATGGCCTGGCTCATCCTCAATACTCCAAAGGTTTTGCTAACTTTTGCTCTCTGCAACCCTGGAATAAATCATAGCAAAATTGAAGGCAATATGTTAGCAGCTAGCTAACTATTTGATTGATCTTGGGTAAAAAAAACACCTGACCAATCGCTAGACTGATACCTGTCTTTTGAAGAGGAGTGACCCCAACTTCAAAGCCAGTCAATTAGGCAACAAGAGATTCTTTTGATGTACATCAAAGGATCAAACTAGTTTTCTAGTCACATCCACAAGGTGTCGCACACTGAGCCTTTGATTTTGTCATGACATATTCATGGTTGCATATAGAGCAAAAGTGAGCTTAACCTCTAGAGCATCAAGGATGGGCCTGACTGCATGTACACCTTTTCGAAAAAAGAAGCCATAAACCACCAATATCATCAGGAGCAGAAAAGACACCTCAGCCATAAAATTGACCAAAGCTGTATTTCACAACGCACAATAAAATGTAAGGAGCTAGTACTAGTGCTGATATTAACTATAAAGAAACTTCTACCCTCTAATATCCATTCTTTTAATTACTATGCGTAGTTGTAATAACTGTTGTATACATTTAAGTATCAATAATTAAGTTGGATACAAGGTTTATTTAATAATATGCAATATTGCTGTATTTTATAATTTTTGATGATGCATAAACTTTGATTGTCTGCACTCTGGAATGAAGAAAAGGTATTTTCACTCCTACAATGGTAACCTAAGGATTTCTGTCACACTGACTAGAGAATATCATTATTTTTGTGTACGTACGGTAACTTCCCCTTCATTTTGTCTTGGATATATGCCAGTCTTATTTAATTGTCCTGTTGTATTTTTGTATTCAGAACACTGTTGTTGATTTTTTTTGGTCTTTAGATCTTTTTTTTCCTTATATGTACTTCAAGGTATGCCTTTCTTTTCAAAAGTGATTTATTATAGCTATAGTCGTGCCAAAAAAAGGTGTCCAATGCATGGTTATGGTTTATGTCAGTGGTACGAGGATCCTTGATGGTCAGTTATTGTTAATTTCAGAAGTGCTGTAACTTTCATATGAATGTCTTGTATTAGTCTAGTTGATTGAAGTTTGAACAAAACAAAATGTATACTTAATGCAAGATTTTCAGACTTCTTTTATATTGCTTAAATAAATTAACATTGTTCTTTATTATAGTTCCTGCACAAAGTTCTGACTGTCCAGTTTGTATACAGTTCTGTCGTCAACTATGACCTTTATTTTAGGATCTAGTGCAGGAGCTGGCAGTGGGGACTTCCACGTGTACAGAGGTGTGAGAAGAAGAGAGTATGCTCGCCAGAAATTTGTTTTAGAAAAAGCAAAGAGGGTATGTATGTAAAAATTCTATGTGATCCGTACAATCATTTCTGAACTAAATTATTCATAATCAATGTATGGTCTACAATATTTTTATCTCATGACTATCGTGTTATGTTGTAAATAAACCAACGTAATATATATTATTACTATCTATTACCTCCTGTAACCTCGCTAACACCCATTTGAAGTCATTTGAAATGTAACATGGCATTTGATCCTTTAAATGAAGTAAATTGTTAACATATAACCACAATATACCTTCCGTTAACTTTCTCATTAATACATTTGAAACCAAGGTTGCATTTTTTATTATAAATAGTATTTCAATGACCTCAGCTGACCCTGACATGTCATGAAATTAAGCATGACCCCAAAAAGGGCCGGCCCTACTGGGGCCCTACTGGGGCTGAGGAGCCAAGCAAAAGGGAGCTAATTGGCTGATTTGTTTTCAGTGACATCTTCTCCTGAACAACTGGGCATATTTCAACCAAATTTGTGGTAGTTTAATGTGCATACGAGGATCAAAAGTTACACTAATTAGGAGCTAATCCTCCACGGGGCTGTGGGGCAGATTACCAATGTTGGCCATTTCTGTGCCTAGCATAATTTATTGTTAAATATTTAATGACAGTGTAATCCCTTGAGAGTGGAGCCACATGTACAGGGTTCATTAGAGTTCATTAGGGGTTCAATCTGGTTGAAGTGCTTTACGTCTACACTTCACTGACAAAGTCGGTGTTTGGTTGACATGAGGGTGTAAGTTGGCCCTTACCAGCCTCTCGGAGATTCTAAGTCCTACCCATCCAGGTCATGCTCTGAGGTCGGAAAGCTCCTCAGATGCAGACAGGCTGTCACAGCTACTATGGTCCACGGAACGACATCCTTCGTGTAGTCCTCTCTGTCCTCCTATGTGGGTTCAATCTTTAAACAGACTGCTTTTATAGTATCATTAGAGATGTTTTGACATAATTTGCCAAGAAGCATCCCTTGGTCAAAGAGATTAAATGCTGTATAAATGAAGAGTGTTGCCCTCCCAGGAGCAGACAGGTGAGATCAGTATAAGGCAAAGTCGATTGGTTGAGACACCTTGACTAAATCTGATGTTCCACCATGGTGGTTTTACCAACATTGATACAAATGTTATGGTACAAATTGCCTGATCAAGTGATGTTATTGTAATGTTTTGTTCAGGTCACTTAGAAATACATTACAGGAAGCATTTTTAATTTCTTGTACTATTCAAATAACAAATAGAGAAACAAGTGTACATTATGAGTATTTTTTTAGGTCACCTGAGCTTGGCTCAAGTGACCTATTCCAATCACTTTCCATCCGTCGTCATCCGTCGTGCGTTGTGCGTAAACTTTTTACATTATCAACTTCTTCTCAAGAACCAGTGGATGGAATTTTTTCAAACTTGGTCAGAATCATCCTTGGTAGATGAGGCTACCAAATTGTAAAATTGGGATTCCTACCCCAGCCCTAGGGGCCAGGGCGGGGCCCAAAAGGGAAAATTAACCAATGTTTCAAAAATCTTCTTCTCCAGACTCAGAGGTATTACAGTCATTTTCTCTGCATGGATGGAAAGATCATCAGGGGCTTTATTTAAATTGTAAATTTCAGGACCCCCGAGCTATCCGTTCTCCCTTGGGGAGGGGGTAAAGTTCACTAAAGTTTATATAGGGAAACAACACTTTTGGGTTTATTTTGACAATTTTCTGTTGGAAGTATTTTTTTACTTGGTGAGAATTATCCTTAGAGGAGGAAGATGGTTTTAAATTGTAAAATTGGGATTCCTACCCCAACCCTAGGGGCCAGGGCGGGCCCAAAAGGATAAATTAGCCAATATTTCAAAAATCTTCTTCTCCAGACTCAGAGGTATTACAGTCATTTTCTCTGCATGGATGGAAAGATCATCAGGGGCTTTATTCAAATTGTAAATTTCAGGACCCCCGAGCTATCCGTTTTCCCTTGGGGAGGGGGTAAAGTTTACTATAGTTTATATAGGGAAACAACACTTTTGGGTATATTTTGACAATTTTCTGTTGGAAATTATTCTTACTTGGTGAGAATTATCCTTGAAGGAAGATGGTTTTAAATTGTAAAATTGGGATTCCTACCCCAACCCTAGGGGCTAGGGCAGGGCCCCAAAGAGAAATTTAAACAATTTTTCAAAAATCTTCTTCTCCAGGCTCAGAGTTCTATACTACAGTTATTTTCTCTGCATGGATGGAAAAATCATCAGAGGCTTTACTTAAATTGTAAGTTTCAGGACCCCCGAGCTATCCGTTCTCCCTTGGGGAGGGGGTAAAGTTTACTATAGTTTATATAGGGAAACAACACTTTTGGGTATATTTTGACAATTTTTACTTGGAAATTATTCTTACNTTTTTGTATTATATTTTCAAAATTTTATGACATAAACATATATATAAATATACATACAATGTACATGAGCGTCTAGAATCGCCTTTAAATAATGTATATACTGTTCAAAATACGATCAAGTGTCAGTATTCGTCTTACATTATATATTAACAAATAAGTAAAGATTCACATTCTGATATCAGAATCATCTTTGGTGGATGACGGTATCACATTGTAAACTTGGAATTCCTGCCCTATCCCCGGGGCCCCAAAGGGAACATTTACCAATATTTTAAAATTCTTATCCATTGATGACATGACAAGTATTGTATTTCACTTAGTTTACATGCTGATTTCCACATCACATCTAAACAATAAAATAAAGCTACCAGTACCTATGATATAACTCAGGTGACCGCTAAGGCCATTGGGCCTCTTGTTTTAATTCAGAGGGTTTTAATTGAGCCATATTTGTCAAATGAATATTAAAATTTGGCTATAGACATAGGTAATAAGGCTACTACTTTAATGCAAAGTTTAAAAAAAATGGGTTGTGGACCATCATTTATGGGATTTAAATTCAGGCTGCAACTTAAAACTTAACTGAACCATGGTAAACAATATTGATATACACTATATTCATTGCTGTCTAACTGAATAAACACCTTTTGTTTGCACCTGCCTGTTACATAAATTAATACCTACAGATTATAAAAATGTTGATGAATAATAGAAAACTTGATTTTTTTTTATTGCTGTCAGGAAGAGGCAGACGCTGAATATGAAAAGAAGGTAGAAGTAAACGTGAAGGCCGCTGATGAACGTACAGCTAAGAAACGAGCGAAACGATTGAAGAAGAAGCAGAAACAAAAAGGAAAGAAACCCAGGACGGAAGTTAAAGGTAAGTACCTGGTACCTGTGTGAAACATGTAATAATATAAAAGGTAAGTACCTGTACCTGTGTGTACCATGTAATAACATAAAAGGTAAGTACCTGGTACCTGTGTGTAACATGTAATAACATAAACTGTCATACATTTTATCCTTCAGGGAGGTCATGATATATACATGTACAAAAATGTATTATCAGTCTCCTTACCTTCATCAGGAACTAGAAATCCTTCCAGTTCCAAGTGATGTCCATCTTGTCAGTTTGATCCACCTTGTCTCCATCAATGGTTATCTGGAGTGTGTGTTTGTTGTATAAAGTCCTTTACAAGGTTTGGAGTCTTCATCAATTGTTATCTGGAGTGTGTGTGTTGTATAAAGTCCTTTACAAGGTTTTGAGTCTTCATCAATGGTTATCAGGAGTGTTTGTGTTGTATAAAGTTCTTTACAAGGTTTGGAGTCTTTATCAATGC